TGGAGGTGGCTCCCAGTGCAGGTGGCTGGCAAGTAGAGCAGGGTCCCTGCAGACAAGTGTGGTTGTAGGCCTGGCACAGGCCAGGGCACCTCCTATGGCCTGAGGCAGAGCCCGGCTGATGGCAATCCTGCCCCAGGCAGGGCAGGATGGAGAAGCACTGCTCTAGGCAGGGCGTGTCCACCTCCGTGCTCTGGACATTCAGAAGACGCCTGTTCTGGGCAGAGTAGGGTGTTTAGCAGCAACTGTGGCCTCCACCCCACCACATGCCAGGAGCATCCACTAGTTGTGACCGCTGTCCTCCAGACATCGCAAAATTTGCCTGGGAGGCAAGCACCTGCTGGAGGAAGAACCCTTGCTCCCTGCCCTGAACCTCCAGGGATGCAGCATGCCAGGCTCCAGCCAGGCAGGCAGTCCATGGCTGGTTACCCAGATCACATCTGCCCCTTTCCAAAGGGGATTACACGTACCACCAGAGGCCGAATCCCAGAGGGACATGTTACTCTGTGACGATGTGCAACTGCACTTGAGAGGACACCAGAACCAGGGAGCTGACAATGAAGTATGCCTGAATTTTGTGCTCAGCTCTCAAAGACTAGCGTGGCCATGGTAAGCCACTCTGCAAATGACTAGGAGCTCTGGAGCCCACTGAGACACTAGGCCTGGAGGAACCCATGTAACTGGGCAGCTGGCCCTTGCCAAGTGCAGAGTGAAGGCGTCCAGAGGCTAGAGTTGGACCCTTGTAACCAGAGACCATCCTGCGATCCCACCCTGCTTTCCCAAGAATGGGGAACCCGCCTATCACACTGCTGGTGGGTCAGACACCCAGGCCTAAGACGGGCACAGTTTTCTTTTTCTTTATTTGTCTACATTCAGCTGAATTCAAATGTACTGCCTGAATGATCCAGACATACAAAAACCCCCCACTCGTTCCCACTGGTTTTTAAAATAAAATCTTCACTTATAAAACTGAAACACTAAAGCATTAAAATACAGAAAGCTTGTTTAACTCACTTCACAAAAGCATTAACAGATGATGTATCCCTTCCGTAACTATTTAAGGACAAACTGAGTTAACACTAACACCAATTGTAAATAGACAGAGGGATACTGAACTGCAGGAACTCAAAACTCTACCCAGACAAAGTGGTAATGGCAACTAACAAACCATTGAAGACACGGAGTCCCAACACGGCTAAATAGGGGTCACAGGACTAGCCACGGAGCGACCCGCTGCACCGCACAACACAGCAAAGTGGACAGGGCGGGGGCGGGGCCTGCAGGCCGGCTGACATGTTAACTGTGATGCATAAAACTGGATCTTCCAATGGGGAGTAAGTGCAGAAGGTACAAAGCTGGCCCGGTGGGCTTATCTGTACTGGTAGTTCATGCTGTGGTCTGCGTTTCTGCCATAGCCGCCCTGTGAGGATTGGTAGGAGCTGGGAGGGCCACTGTAGTTCTGCCCGGAGCCTGGGGAGTTGTAGTTCGACTGTGATGAGTAGCCTCCTAGGAGAGAGGGAGCAGTGAGAGCTGGGACTGGACGTGCCCAGCCATTAGGGCACAGGATGTCAGCCCACATCCAATTTGTGGGCTCCTGCTCTAATGCCTGTCAAACATATATGAGGTCTGGCAGTCACCAAGCCGAGAGGTGGAGCAGCGTGACCCTGGTTTTCTTTTTTTCTTTTTTTTTTTTTTTGAGTTAGTCTCACTGTTGCCCAGACTGGAGTGCAGTGGCCGCTCCCGGCCATTGCGGCCTCGACCTGCTGGGCTCCGGCGATCCTTCCACCTCAGCCTTCCAAGGAGCTGGAACTACAGGCGCGCGCTACCATGCCCGACTAATTTTTGATTTATTGTAGAGATGAGGTCTCGCCAAGTTGCCCAGGCGGGTCTCGAACCCGCGGGCTCACGCAATCCACTCACCTCAGCCTCCCAAAGCGCTGGGATTACAGGCTGAGCCACCAAGCCCAGCTGACTCTGGTTTTCAAGGGAAGCTGCCTGGGCACAGGCCCTTGGTGCCAGCCCAACCCAAGGACAGAAGTGTTAGTCGGTTAGTACCACCTGCATCGCCAGAGGGTGCTAGCAGGTGAGAGCAGGGACACTGCTAGCCTCTGGCTTCACTGAAAAGCCTGAGTAGCTGGTGGGGTCCAAGCCTCTGCTACCACAGGGCTACACACAGAAGCCCAAACGCAGCTCTCCAAGCCCACCAGGACTGCAGCCCTCCTCACAGCATCTGCTGGGACCCCATGCTACACCGCCTGCGGCCCAGGCCCACCTTGTTTGCCTTGGTATGAGGATCCGCCCCCAGAGCCTCCACCGTAGCCCCCATGTGACCCTGGGTTGTAGGATGCCCCGCCTGAGCCATAGCTGTTCCCGCCGCTTCGGCCTCCGCTCCCACTGTAGCCTGGAGGAGAGAAACAAGGTGGTTAAGAAGTCCTGGGAAGACACAGGGGGTGGTCCTGGGCCTTGTGAGGTGCCATGTGGGGCAGGCCCTTGGTTCAGACCCCAGGCATCTGCAGATGTCTCTGGCTGCTTAATCCTGGTACCTGTCAGCCCAACATAGAGGTGCCAGGACTAGCAGAAGCCTTGTGAAGCTGCCTTGCCTCTAGCGAGGCTGGTCACTGAACACTAAAGCCCAGCTCTGTGGTGCCCTCCCACCAATCCCCAAACCAAGCTTCCCTGCAGCAGTTCAGAAACCAGGGACCCAGCACTGCGTCTGTAACATCCCACTGCTAAGAGCTGCTCGATCTCAAGAACACACCCACTCAGCCCAGCTGGGCCACAGAAACAACTCAGAAACTCAGGCTGGCTGAGATTCTGCTTATGGCGGGCGAGGAGTGTATTTCAGGTTCTTCCAGGGGCTGGACACAATACTGTCCCTAGAGCTGGTCCCAGGAGTTCACCTGTCTCCGACCCAGCCTCACTCCATAGCCACACCTGTCTTTGGAAAGCACGTCACAAGGGAGTGGCAGATATCTGCACCATAGGGTTCTGCCTCTCATGTCTCCTAGCAACCCCCCTCCCACCCCACAGCCAACACCACCTGTCTTCCTCCTAGTCCCTCAGCCAGAGGTCCAGGCAGTGCCGCATCTCCGCCAATCCGTGGGCTGCACTGCTGGGGCCTGGACCCTGACCAGGCCGAGGCATGCCGGAAGCCAACTCACTGAATTTGCTCTCGTAGTTGTAGTCCGAGCCGCCCCCGCCCCCGGGAGAGCTGTAGGAGTTCGAGTAGGAGTAGTTGCCTTGTCCATGGTTGTAGCCCTTGGGCTTGCCCTGTGGGGGGCCATAGCTGCCGTACTGGCTCTGGCTGTAGGACTGCTGCTGGCCCTGGTGGGACGGGTAGCCTGAGCCGTAGGAGGGCTTTTGCTGGCCTCCGTGCGGCTGCTTCTTCCCAGCATGTTTTGGGGGCACCGGTGAGTTGTAGTTGTCGCCTTGGTAGTAGGAGCTGTAGCCAGAGGAGCCACCACCGCCCCCGCCGCCGCCACCACCGGCATTCCCAGAATGCCCTCCGTTGCTGTAGAACTGACCTAAACAGGGAGGCAGTGGGTCAGGTGGAGGACAGGGAAGGGCATGGAAGGGCAGGGAAGATGGCAGTGTGGGTCCTGAAGGCTGACTCACAAGCTCTCTGCCGAGAGGCAGCGAAATCAAGGCAGGAGAGGAGCAGTGGCTCCGGTTGTTAGAGCAGCCCTGTCGTCTGGCCCAGCCTTCAGCTCCACTCACCGTCAGCTGATGACAACAATGGGTCTTTGCCAAGCAGCGCACGACAGCAGCTTTTGCAGCGGATGTCAACATTACAATGAGATGGGCTCCGAGCGCGGACGACATTCACAGCTAGCTGACGGCTACCCAGATGTCCCCAAAAGTGACAAAAAAAGCAATGCCCAGAGAAGCAGTGGGCCACCCCCCTTCATCCCCCTGCTACTGTGCTGGGAACAGGCTCGACAGGCACAGGCCTTGGGAGCCCAGGAAACACTCTTTAATGAGACCATCTGCATTCTGGGAAGATCAAAGGGTCCAAGCTGGCTTGTTCTTGGAAGAGAAGTGAGACTCGGCCAATGATGAATACACCTTGCTGGTGTAATTCGTGCAGACATTACTTTGGGAACAAGTGAGCCCCGGCCTCATGGGGATGGGGTATGGCTAAGGCTGGGGATCAAGATGTCCAGGTGTGGCCTCAAGTTACAGCCTCAGCAACCCCCGAAGCCCCTTCCTTGATCCCAGCACAGCTGCTGGGCGTATGCAGGACTTAGCAGCAGGGCTGACATGAGCACTGCAGCCGCCACATTCTCAAGTCTGGAGCTGCAAATGTCACAGCCAGGCCCTGCTCTGGTCACTAGGTTTGTCAATACACTACCCTACCAGAGACTTGGGTGGAACCACAGCGGGCTGTATTGGCTAGGCCCAGCAAAGGAGTCCTGCATCAGGGGCTGCAGGGCTGGTTTGGGAAGGCTGGAGGTCAAGTCATGGGTGGCTCTCCAGCACAGCCAGGGTGTGCCCAGCACTCAACATTGGAGTACTTAGGCTCGAAGAGTAGGCAGGCCTGAGCAGTCCCCTGTGCCCAGGGAGAGTGGGAGGGAGAAGGGATGCTCCCACACAGCCTGTCCTTCCTTTCTTCCCAGGTTGAGCACCGAGGGTCCCACACCTTCTGGCTGGGGTTAACTGGGTGACTTCACGTACCTCCACCCCTTAGACATGTGTACCCCACGCTGGCGTGTCATGGGCTGTGTACACAACAATTTGGAGAGAACTGATTTGCAAACTTGTCTGTGTTCCTCAGGCAGGCCTCCTCCTCACCCACCCCACAAAGCCAAAACACCAGGGAGAAGGATGTGTCCCACAAGGCAAGAAAGCAAACATGCGGAGGCTCAGTGAGGAGACTGGGAAGACGCAATCCTCAGAACCCACTCCCAACCCCCTAGCTACCCTCCAGCTTCCCCAGCATCCTGCACTGAGCACCACGTCGCCCCGCCTGAAGCCGGGAATGAATGAAGACGCAGGGCCCAAGGGCTTGTTACTTTCACATGTATTGATTTAAAAAAAAAATAAAGGGGAAAGGGGTTTTTCAACGTCATTCAGGAGAACTATTTCCTGGTATAAAAAGACATAATTCTTAAACAATAACTTTCTAAAAAAAAATACACCATGCAATCAAAGTTTTTAAAAAGTTTCACTGAATGTTTCAAACCTCTGGGAACAAACCACGTAGTGACCATTTTGACCAGTTTTTCCTGGATAAACGCAAAATCTTGCAAGTCAACACAGAGGCAGGCTTTGCTGCAAAAAGAACTACTGGTCAGAGACCATCATTTCCAAGGAGGGCACCCACTAGGAAAGAGGGGCCTCGACGGATAGCCAGAGGAGCTGTGTATGCCTGTGCTCACAGGAGAGGATCCCAGGCCTCTGGAGTCTATGGTGGTGGCTTGCCCAGCAGCACGGCCAGCAGAGCCAAAGCTGGTTCTTCACTGGAGAAGCAGGGAACACAACTGGCTCTTTCTCCTTGATTATTTTTAAAGCCCCATTAAAAAAAAAAAAAAAAAAACCCAAATCCCACGCCTTTGCAGTTGGATTAGGACTTGCAAAATTTCACGTCACCCACCCCTTGAAGCCTGTCTGTTTTTCACACCGATCATGGAAGCACAGTTTTGATACCTTTGAGAGTTCACTCTCTCTAGCTAAACCAGCACAAGATGTCGCATCCCCAAACAAGAACCCACCAGAGCATTTACATTAAGGCGGGAGAAGTTCACTCAACGCAACATACAATTCCCCACGTGTCCCAACATTTAACATGCTTGGAAGAAAAATAAGCCGGTTGCTCTGGATTCAGGTGTGGTAGAATCGTTTTCATGACTGTCAAAGGCATCAACCCGATTTGGGAATTTGTTAAAAGGTTAAAAATTCATACAAAACCTGCTGTAAATTAAGACAAAGGTAGATTAAAATGTGTCATTGTCTGTCTCTTTAAATAAGGTAAATGCTTTCCATAAAAAGCAAAGGTGGGCTTTTGCCTTGATGCTGGACAACGCTGGCTCTAGAATTCTGTGCAATTCTGCACAAAAATACATTCTCTGGAAAAATTGTTTTCCACTTATTGTGAACTTCAATCTGACCAAGTTCAAAGGCAAATCACGATAAAAACTGCCATTGTCTTAAGTTCTGCAGGCTAAGAGTTTCAGACAAGCTGCGGTGGAAAGCCACGGTTGAGAAACCCAGTGAAGCACAGGGACACAGCACGGACACTTGGGGCTTTGGAGTTGGAGGAAATTGGAGTAAAAAGTTGATTTTGTGTGCAATACTTTTAGACGCTCTAGGAAGACCCAAAATCATGATAGCCGTAGCAGTCTGTGAAAAAGTCACCTACAAAAGGGGGAGACAGAGCAGAGAGAAGAAATTAGAATTCTTTTGAAAAAGGGCACAGAGCGCCACATTTGAAATTCATGTTTTAGATTTCTCTGCTCCTGTAACCCCCCAATGAAGGCTCCTTCTCAAGACAAGAGCTGTGCACGGGCAGGAAAAGCATATTCACAAGATTGGTGCTTCGCATGGCTTAAAGCAGAGAAATTTAAAATTCCAACTTCTAAGGAACTTTGCAGTCACACGAGCTCGTGTGTTAACACTTAAAGAATCAATCCCACTCTGTGGGACAGGGACTGAGGACAAGCTGCCCTAATCATCACAAAAAGGCGCGTGCCACTCGGAAGCCTCTGCCAGGCTCTGCTGGCTGCCCTGTGCTAACTCAGGCCCCAGAGCTAAGCTGCATCCGCCTCCCCAGTGAGACAGAGAGAAACACACACTTACTGTAGCCTGCTGTCGCCGAGTTGCCTCCGTACCCATAGCTTCCATACCCAGCGCCTGGAAAGAGGACAGACAGGGTTACAGGGACAATGGTGGGTCCAGCCGGCTCCATCCCAGGAGCCCCCCACACTCAAGGATGCATGGACACCCTCAGAGCATGCAAATGGGGCACATGGGGACTGCACAGGAGAAAGGCCCTCACCAGCATTCATGTAGCCTCCGTGGTTGGCGCCACCAAATCCTCGTCCTCGCCCTCGCCCACGGATGTTGCCTCCTCTTCCCCGCCCTCGCAGGTTGGGGGGTGGGGGCACTTCATTGTGCATGGGACCTCCCATACCAAAGCCGGGGTTATGTGGCTGCACAGGAGAAACCAGACAAGGCACATTCACCTCACACTGAAGTCCAGAGAGAACTGTTGCCCAGCCCCAAGCTTCAAGGGCAACACTTACCTTGGCGGCAAACTTGGGTCCGCCTCGGACTGGCACGGGGGCCCTCTTCTTCTTGTTAGCATCAAGGGCGAGAGGGGCGTCAGGGAAGAGTTTCTCTAGGGCTGCAAGGGCAGCGTATGCCTTTGCCACCTTCTTGTTGGAACCAGCACCTTGGAACTTCTGTCCATCCACCTCCACCTGGAAGGGACAGGCACGCGTTGGGGATGACCTGAGCACAGAGGGAGCCAAATCCAAGCCCCTGTAGGAAGCCTCCCTCTGGGGAGTACAGGCGGGGCTCACCTCCATGACGAAGCGCTTGTCGTGGCTGCCGCCGGTCTCAGACACGAGCTCATACTTGAGGCCACGCCTCTTCTCGTTCAGCTCCATGACAGGGTTCTTGCCGTGCTTTGTCAGGATCGGCCCCTGCTGTTTTACGTTCTCAGGGAAAACAGAAAAGAAACCAACACACTCAGCTACAGGCTTTCCAGCCACATGGAAGGCAATGTGGCACTGAAACTGAGGCCTCCATCAGCTCCCATGTAGGCCTCCCAGCAACACCCCCTGCCCAGTCTCTGGTGAATGGCATGTTCTCAGTTGAGGGCCACCCTGGAGCAGCCCTGGATGCTGGGACAGCATTGGCAAGGCCTTCAGACAACACTGGAGGGCAGCACCCAGCTCCCTGTGCAGATCCTGTCCTGGAAAGCCAGCTTTTTTGTGGAAAATATAAGGGCCAGTAACTGTCCCACTCATGGGCATAGGGCTGCCGGCTTCATCCTGGCGGTCATTCCTGGCACCCACCACACGCTCACCTCGGCAGTGGCATCTGAGGGAAAGGCAGCACTGGGGGTTGATACAGTTTCCACTACGGGGGCAGGGGCCACCGCTGCCGGCTTCGCCTCGGTCTCCTCGGCTGAGTCCTCCCCCTTGCTGGAGTCCCTGCCTTCGGCGCCTGTCGGCAAGCCCATGTCCTGTAACACCTGCAGAGATGGCAGGACCCCCCGGGTCCCCGTTAGGGAGGCTCAGCTTGGGGTCATCCATACAGAATCTTCCCTTGCCCAACAGGTCCTCCTGGGTATCCCAATCAGACTCCTGGGGTAGAGTAAAAAACTCCTGGGGTAGAGTCCAGCAAGGATTTTTTCCCCTCTTGGATCCCCAGGAGACCCTGATGTCCAGCTACATTTGAGAACTCTCTGCCTCTCCGCCAGAGTGAACAAGGTGTTCTTGCCATGTGTGACCTGGCAGATGCTCGTTCATTTAAACATCTGTGTTTTCAGGGTCTGCACATCCCACTTCCCTCTCAAGACTTTCGTGTCAACATTAAAGGTTTTCCTGAGGGATGATGGTTCAGAAGAGCCCATGAGAAAAAGATGCCAGTCACACCTACCTTAACAGCCACGTGCAGCTTGGCAGTCTTTTTGGATGGCCCAGATGCCTCGAATGAATTGCCATCAACCTCCACAGACATGGTGAAGATGGGGGCATGGACGGGCCCAGTCTGGGACACCAGTTTGTACTGCAGCCCCGGCTTTAGCTGGTTCAATCGCATCAAGGCGTTCATGGCTTGGGGAGGCTCTGCCTTCTCCTCTAGAGAGAAGTGCAAGGGACTCTGGGTGAATACCCGAGCAGATTTCTGCCAGAGTTCATCAGTTCCACATCCCAGTGACTGCCTCGGGAGGCGAGGTGCAGTGGGCTTGTCAGCTCCGCACATCTACTGAGTCCTACTTGTGTTCTGCACCCACATGATATTTACTAACTGTTGACAAGACTGAAAAACGGTGTTCAAGAAGAACACAGCAGGCATCAAGCACCTTTAGGGTAAGCCCTAGTGGGAGCCTGGGGGGAGGATGGAGCAGTGAGTGACACTGACAGAGGGCCGTACCTTTCTTCTGAATCTTCTTTTTCTTTTTGCTAGGAGACTTCTCCTCCCCATCCTCCTCCATAGGGCGCTTCATGGGTGTGATGGCGTATGTGGTGCTGGGGGGGATTTGAACTGCAAGGAAAGAGGAGGACAGGGCCAGTGAGGACTGCAGGCTACTGCTCTGCTGGAAGCCCAGCTGCCAGGTATCCACTGCAGGCTTACCCGTGTAGTCGATGGGGTTCTCATTCTTTGGTTTCTTGGGCATCTTGGAAGGCAGAGGGTCCATGCCCAGGACTTTATGTAGCTGGCCAAACGCAGCAAGTCGCAGTGCATGCTGGAGAAGGGGAAGAATGGTCTGACTGAGCTGCTCTGCGCGCACAGTCGTGGTATGTATGCTCACTACTGCCTTCTGAAGAGGGGTGGAGTTGGGGGCTGCTAACGGTCTCCCTCACAACAGCAAGGGGTCCCCCAACAGCCAGGGGAGGGCCTGACTATTCAGGCCCAGCCTCGCTGTGGGGGAAGGCCAGCCTGTGACCACCCCCCTTCAAGATAAGTACAGGAGACCCCAACCTGGGGACTGGTTGCCACACGGAGCCATGTGGAGGGCCTGCAGGGGAAGGATCCCCAGAGTAGTCTCCCCACTGAACTCGGTGTCCGAAAATGGCACTCGAGCAGGCCGAGGGGGCAGACGTCAACCACGCATGGCGCCAGGGGAAAGAAGAAGCCCAGATTGGGGCGCCCTGTATCAGACACGATCCCTTTGCCTACAGTCCCCGACCTGAGCCTACAAGTCCAGGGGCTACCCTGAGAATACCCAGTAATGGAACTGGAAGCCAGTGATTACAGACTGGGTAAGGGCTCACGTTGGCAATGGCGATGACTATACCTGCGCACTCTGTGTGATATCTTCCCGTTGCTGTCTGTCTAGATGCCCAATAGCATCAGTGGCTTCTTTTTCACAAGGGTCATAAATGCCAGAACCATCTGAAGGCAGGAAACAAGGAAGATATGCAGAGGATTATCCTTTAGCATCTCGGAAGAGTTGTGCTGGCTGAGGGGACCAGGTGCATTACCCCCCACGCCCCATCCACACCCAGCTCTGGAAAACACACCGAGCTCGGTGACCCACTCGGCGTCCAGCCCATGACAGAAATAATCCACATGTGTCTCAGAGCAAGAAAGTCACGTGGGAGTGGGTCACCACCGCCCCCGGATCCGCCCTCTGAATCACAGCTGCGGACCCGGCGCAGGGCTGGATATGATGGTGCAAGAGGGTAGTCACATGCGTCAGCCCTAGGGGGTGGACATGGAACTGCTGCTGCCCTAACCCACTCAGTGGACCAGCCAGGGGGCGGCCTCGGGGCCTTGGTCCCTGTCCTTTCCCTGCCACCTGCGAAGCACAAAGCCCCAACCTGGCATCACGATGCCCGACGCCAGGCACTCCAGCACTCTGCGCAGGGCCTCGCCAGCACCCATGGGTCTGTTGGCTGTGCCGATGGACTTCTCACACAGGAGCTCGAGGGGCTGCAAGGCAAGGGGGACAGTGAGCCTCAACCTGCAGGATGGGCTATCCAGATAAGAAGCCGTTACTGTGTGTGTGTGTGTGTGTGTGTGTGTGTGTGTGTGTGTGTGTGTGTGCACGCGTGTGTGCATACAGTCACAGCTACCTAGGCATGTCAAAGCCAAGTCTTAGAGCTATAGTCAGGGCATCTAGGGCAGGGACTGGCCAACTTTTTCAAGGGTCAGACATTAAATCCTTTAAGGCTGTTTGGGTCCAGAGGCAAGCTTGAGGCTATAACATTGGTACTTCTATTTAGAACATAACCATTCAGAGGCACAAAGACCATGCTTAATTGGGGGCTGAAGCACTCATATTGACCAGAAGCAGCTAACAGATCCTTGTGCTGGCTCTGCCCGAGCGCATCTCTAGTGTTTTCTTCATGGGGTAAATCACAACCTGCTGCCTGGCCAGCCCCTCCCTGGGCTGAGCTGTCATCCTCCATGGAGGGGCCTTGTCTCTCCCTGGCCCCACCCAAGACATGGATCCCAGGAAGTACTCATCAAGAGGCCAGTCTTCAAAGGCCACCTCTCTCCTGGGCCCATAATGTGTTCCTAGAATACTGGAGAAGGTCTGTGCACACACTACTCTCCAGAGGCGATAGTGACAAGGTGCCTTACCCAGCCTCGGAGGGGACCCCAGGTGGGCACTCGGGTGCATAGGTCCCTCAGGACTCGAATGACAATGACACATGACTTCAGCCCATTGGCTCTGGCCTAGGGGAAGAAAGCACAGGCTCTTTAGGCTGAGGCACCTCTCAACACAGGCCAACATGAACAACACAGGTCTCATGGTGCTGCTTTGCCAAGGGTAAACAGTCAATGTGCGAGGCCACCAAGGGTGTGGTCCGCCACGACTTCATGTACGAAGGGTGTTACTCTTAACACAGAGCAGCAGCAGCCCACAACTCGGTCTCAGCCTCTCTGGGGCCAATTTGTTGGGGTGCACTCCTTTAGCACCCACATGTGCAGGTGCTAAGTTCAGCACAGCTGTTGTCAATGTTAAAGGATCTTTATGGTGACAGTTAGCCAAGTTAAAGCTGAGGAATTCTCTACCGAAAGACAAATAGAATAACAAAATGCAAACCTGGAACCACTTGGCGTGGCGGAGGGACGCCAAGGCAGCAAGGCATTTCTGCCTGTCCAGAACGTCCGGGGGATCGTTGACTGATAGCGTTTCTATTCATGGATGGAATAAGAAGACAAGGCACAGTTTGACCAAGGGGTTTCTGTCAGGTGGAAAGGGTATGTGGCAGCTTCCTAAAGGACAGCTGAGTTTCCCAGAAGCTGAATTCTTCTCCACCCTTTGACCAGGGAAGGAGAAACTAGAGTGCACTGAGCTCTGCTCTGGGAGGATATTATAAAAACTGGAGTCCCCCTCCAAAAAAACAAAAACAAAACAAAAGCGGGAAGTTACTCTGAAAGGAATCGTCTCAAGGGGGAGGGGAGATATGTGGAGCCTATCTTCTACAAGACGGTTCCCTCACTTCTTCCCCATGTTCTCCCAGTAATGAGCTATGCTAAAGTTTCAATAAGAAAAAAGCCAAAAGGGAGGGGAGCAGAAACAAGCTCCCTTGCTCCTCTAACAGCTGGCTTAAGGCATCTGCTCAATGGGGACCACCTCCGCCCACCAGGCGGGACGGGACTGCCCAAGCCCCAGCCCTTGACAGAGAGAGTCCTGTTGGTCAAAGGTCCAGCGTCATGGGGATAAACTAGGAGGGCTCTGATAGATCAGGTATGTGTGAGAACCACAGGTCATCAACAGAACAAGGGCGTGAAGTCAGCCTGTGCCGCAGCAAAAATGAAGTGCTTGTCCTTCCTACCATCAGTGTATCAGGGTTTTGGATAAGACTGAGCAGAGGTGGACAGGGGGCCCTGGGAGGACCACAAATCATAGGCACATAATTGACATCTTAGGTCCAACAATGAAAAGCAGACAGCTGTTTAAGCATTATGCAAAATTCTGCATTGGTTCTCTGCATTTCCGTCATTTCAGTTGCTGAGACTGATGGAAAAGATGGATCAGGAGGCCTTGCGTCTGCTGCGGTGCAGGCTGTCTGCACAGCTCCAACGTGATGCTTGGGCACAAACCAGCCACAACATCACCAGGGACACACTTTTCCAAGGTCAGAGAAAAACCAAGTTTCACACTCATGACTAAGAACATTCAAAGATTTAAATCAATGAAAATGATGCGATCCCCTATGAAAAGTGCTACTCATTTTTAGCGATGGTCTGTCAAACTCCTGAGTACTCAAAGCCTTAATGGGAGGTATGAGTTCACATTAAAGGTGGTTAAATCTACGCCAACCAGCCTTTTACCAAAGCAGCCTAAAACTGAATAGCACATCTGAATCATGAGAGAACACCACATATTCAAAGTCCTGCCGACCTGCCTTGGACTCCCTACCTCCAGCTAAAACTTTCTCCATTTCTTCTCTGACAACGGGGGAAGTCAGGTGGATGGTCAGGGACAATGGCGGCTCTTTTGTGTTTTTTATCACAATTGCAGCATCATCAACAGATTGCAGTATTTCGTACTTGTCTTCTGTTACAGCCTAAGAAAGAAAATGCAACTTTCAGGACACTTTCTCAAGACAACCCACAATTCTGCCTGGCTCCACTGGTTCCTACAGCAGAAAGGCTGACCTCTTGGGTGTGGTGTCCCAGAACTGTCTTCCTCTGGACTGCTAGGACCTCCCTCTAGCTGACCAGGTCTTTGGTCATGTTCTGGGCACTCCAGAGAGGAGATGACTAACTCTGTTGTGACAGAAATGAGTTCCATGGGAAGCTTTAAAATGTAATGGGGAAGAGTTTAGGATCCAGGAGGAGGAGACCAAGGCGTGAACCCTGCTTTTCTCACCGAGAAGTTGATTAACTTTGGATATATCAGTCTCAGTAAGACTGAGGTTTCTAACCTACAAAACTGACTTAACACTATGCCAACACAAAAGGCTGCAGGAAGTGTCACTGGACACTGAGCAGGAAGCACAGTGCCCACTGCAGACCAGGCATTCAGCCACTTCCCTGAACTTCCCTGCTGGGTGAGGGGCCAAAGCGTGTGCAGTAACACTGCCTGTGTCCAATGACGACTCTTAAAGTATGTACTTGCGGCAAATGCATGTCTACAAGAAGGCTCCTAACAATCTAACTTGTTAGTTTCTTAATACCACCGTATATGACTTGAAGAAAATTCAAACTTTTATTATTTTTGTCAAAGAAAATTTAAAAATACACTGGAAAATCTAAATGAGGATTACCTGACCTCAGCACAATCGAATCCAAGGCTTGATAACTCTTGGTAGGGGGGCTGTTCTGTGCATTACAGGGTGTTTAGCAGCATCCCTGTCCTTGACACACTAGGTGCTGGTAGTACCCCACTAGTCCCTGGTGTTTCTAGACACCGTCAAATGTCCCTGGTAGGGAGTGGAGAATCACCCATTAAGAAACACTAATCTAAAATGATAAAAATATCCATTATTTTTATCTTGAAGGAATGGTTTTTTATGAATGTTGTACCTCGTTTAGAAATATACCAATGTGCTTCACTGAATATACTTGTTATAGACAAAAAAATCAAGTTAGTTTAGGAATTGCCAATGAATATATAGCAGTCTCTATGTAATTTAAAATAAAAACAGGTCAGGTACAGTGGCTCACACCTGTAACTCCAGCACTTTGGGAGGTGGAGGCAAGAGGACAGCCTGAGTCCATGGGTACAAGAACAGCCTGTGCAACATGTTGAGATCTTGTCTCTATAATACACCATAAAATTAGCAGTGCGTGGTGGTCCACACCTGTACTTCCAGTTACTTGGAAGTCTAAGATAGAAGGTCGCCTGAGCTGGGCTCAGTGGCTCAGCCTGTAATCCCGCGCCTTTGGGAGGCTGAGGTGAGTGGATTGCCTGAGCCCGCAGGTTCGAGACCCGCCTGGGCAGCGAGACCTCATCTCTACAATAAATCGAAAAATCAGCTGGGCGTGGTAGTGCATGTCTGTAATTCCAGCTACTTGGAAGGCTGAGGCGGAAGGATCACCGGAGCCCAGCAGGTCGAGGCTGCGGTGGCCGGGAGCGGCCACTACACCCCAGTCTGGGTGACAGAGTGAGACTCCAACTCAAAAAAAAAAAGAAGGATCGCCTGAGTTCAGCGGGTCAAGGCTGTGGTGGCCGTGAGCGTGCTACTGCACTCCAGCCTGGGCTACAGAGTGAGACTCCAATTCAAAAATTAAAATTAAAATAGGCTGGGCGTGGTGGCTCAGCCTATAATCCCAGCACTCTGGGAAGCCGAGACGAGTGGATTGCCTGAGCCTGTGGGTTCAAACCTGCCTGGGCAACTTGGCGTGACCTCGTCTCTACAATAAATAAAAAACCAGCCAAGCGTGGTAGCGTGCGCCTGTAGTTTCAGCTACTTGGAAGGCTGAGGCGAAGAATCACCTAAGCCTAGCAGGTTGAGGCTGTGAGCATGCCACTGCACTCCAGCCTGGGGAACTCGGGAATAGAATGAGACTCCAACTCAAAAAAAAGAAAAAGTGTAGGGCTTCAGAACTTCAACAGCTTCTCAGAAGTTAACTAATGTACTACATTAGTCTCACAGTTCAATTCTTTGTCCTGAGTCCCAAATTGTTGGTCCTGAGCAAAACTACATAGTGATACATCAAAGTAAATCATGTTTTTCTAAGGAATGAGATTCAAAGGTCATTTTTTACTTTCTTCTCTTGCTTATCCTGAAGCTAAATCCAAGGTGACATTGTCCGGGGGAGCAAGGAGCCAGTGCATGGTAGTGGTTCTGATGCCTCCACATGCACAGGCCAGGAACCCTGGGTCAATTATTCAGCAGTCTCTATACCTCAGTCACATCTGTAACACTTAGTGGGGGTGAAATAATACAGATAAAGAGCACATCTGGCCTAGGAAATGCTCAACAGATGTCAGAGGCCATTACTTATGGAATACTTTTGTAATGAAATAAGTAGACTTTTAAACAAATGATTTTGTTTACATCCAGGTTTGGATCGAGAAAGATTTAAGAAATGTGCTATCTCACCAAACTTTCAGTGGAGTATTAGTGTGAATTTCACACCTGACGACCTCGGGCCAGGGCTCAAGGGCAAACACAGTGAGTGGGCTACTTTCCAAGCAACCTCAGTGGAGTCCTGCCTATCCCCTGTTGAGACAGTGTACACACAGCCAGGACAAAGTGGTGTCTGGTATGTGTGTAATGGAGTGTCTCACATCCCTTCTGCTCACATCAGCAACAAGTTTACCTTGCCCACGCTCCCACCTGCTGGTGGTGGTGACACTTACAGCAAGCTGGATAGTCAGGTTGTCAGCCACCTTGTCCAGGAGGGCAGTCGTGGGCTTCTCCTTACACAGCAACACCAGCTCCAGATCCAAGTCTCCCTTGAGCAGGAGACCCTTTGCCACGAGACCCACTCGCATCACACCCCTCAGGGTTCTTGTCATATGTTCCGTCTTTTGTTCCCTGAGGGACAGACCAATGTACGGCTCAGTGAAGAATTCAGTCAGGTCAGGACCCTGAGGCCCCCAGAGACTGGAGTTTCTTAGAAAAGAGATGCTGGCCTGACTCACGCCTATAATCCCAGCACTTTGGGAGGCTAAGGTGAGAGGATTGCCTGGGCCCACAGGTTCGAAACCAGTCTGGGCAACTTGGTGAGACATCATCTCTAAAATAAATTTTAAAAAAATTAGCCGGGCATGGTGGCATGTGCCTGTAGTTCCAGGTACTTGGAAGGCTGAGGCAGGAAGAGATCACCTGAGCCCGGCAAGTCGAGGCTGTGATGGCCGTGAGTGTGCCACTGCACTCCAGCCTGGGCAACAGAGTAAGATGCCAACTCAAAAAAAGAGAAAAGAGATGCTGATCCCTACACTGGCCAGCCTCCCTAGAAAAAAAAGCACAGCAACATGAAACCTGAACTCACCCAGCCCCTTCCTTGCCCTCATCCTCCGGGGGCACATCCATGTTTTCAGACTCCGTGTGCTCGCCACTGCCTTTCTCCTGCTCGTCTATCCAGTCAGACACAGCTTTGAGTGCCCGCTCAGTGTGGGACACCATGTTTTGCACAGCCTCCAGTTCCTCTTGCGTTGGATACACAGAAGAATGTTTTGCCATCACGTGGCGATCATCATTCACAAAAATTCGCATCGGACGCTGTAAATGTAAAAACTATGTTAAGAATGATGTAAAGTAAGCAGGCAGCCCAACAGTTACCTTTTAAACCGCACAGCTCAAAATTACACAGTATCACTCGTATAAAAATTAGATTGCACGAACACAGCCAAAGGAACGGGAAGGAGAACAAGCCAACTGAACAGCTGTTCCCTCTGGGAAGTAGGAGGAGCAGGGTACTTCCTTTTTACTTGTTTCAATACTATTTGAATTGTCATCGTATAATACAATTCATTTTGGTTGCTCAAGCCTGTAATCCCAGCACTTTGGGAGGTTGAGGCGGCAGTACTGCCTGAGCTCAGGGGTTCGAGATCAGCCTGGGCAACTTGGTAAGACCTCATCTCTACAATACATCAAAAAATAAGCCAGGTGTCGCAGCGCACGCCTGTAGTTCCAGTTACTTGGAAGGCTGCGGTGGTCATGACTGTGCCACTGCACTCCAGCCTGGGTGACAGAGTGAGACTTGGACTCAACAAAAAAACTCAAATTACTTCATAATTCCAAAAGCCTAGTGAAAAATGGTAACAGAATAAAATGATCTGAGGAACTAATACAAACATTTTGTATATGAAGAAACAGTATCTGATTTTTTAAAACTTACCATTTTTATTTCTATTTCTGTAGTGTCTGGAAATCAAACTTTTGCTTATTTTTTCAAATTCTGACAGATTTCCTTGGTGTTATCAATACTTCAGCTGTATCTATAAGAGCAGAAAACCTTTTTAGTTTCAAATAATTCAGAGATGGATTAATCTCAGCAATCAGATACTCAGCAGTGAGAATAAGGCAAGAGATGCCTGAGCAGGGGCCTATTAGCACAGGACATTTCTTTAGGACATTTCACTGCTGCTAAGCCAAGACATTAAACAACTCGTTACAAAATTCCCTCGATGTTAAAATGGCTGGTTTCTAGATGCCAGGTCTGATTTCAGGCCCAAACTCAGATGACTTTTTAAATTTTCTTTTCTATCTTCCTTCATCATTTCTTCATACAAAGTATACCATTTTTTACAAATATGAAACAAAAATAGTAACAGACCTCCAAAAAATGCTACAGGTAGAAAACGCATCATAATTTTGGTGTTTGGAGAAGGAAAAAAAGGGGTCAGAGCTCTGGTCCGTGGGGGAAATGGAGAGACAGAAGGGCCAGGCATGGTGGCTCATGTCTATAATTCCCAGCACTCTGGGAGGCCAAGGATTGCCTGAACCCACAGGTTAGAGACCAGCCTGAGCAACTTGGCGAGACTTCATCTATAATAAGTCAGAAAAAATTAGCCGGGCATGATGGCTCATGCCCGTAGTTCCAGCTACTTGGAAAGCTGAGGCAAAAGGATCATCTGAACCCTGCAGGTCGAGGCTGCAGTAGCCATGAGTATGCCACTACATTCCAGCCTGGGTGACAGAGTGAGACTCCAACTCAAAAAAAAGAAAATAAGAAAGGAGGCATGAGATAGAAAATGGAAAGGCAGGAGCCTTCTGCAAAGCAAATATCTAAAATGTCAGGTAGACACATGCCACCACCTCAAGTGGACACTCTAGGTTCAACTCTGGAGAGTTCAAACAACCGAAGTGCCCAACAGAAGAGTTCCAGACACATGAGCTGTAATGACCATCCTGATCTCTAAATAACATGCCGACCACAGTCTGCTCAATACCCACCAGCGCAAACAGCCTGGGCCATACTGAAATCTTCCAAGTGAAAACATCAAACAAAAAACGCAAGCATATACAAAACAGATGATCCACCTTCCCCATATAGCACCAGCCCCTTCACTGGACACTTGTCCCACCAGTACAGCAGATGCACACCTGAAAAGGCACCATTAAGGATAAACTAACACAACCAGCCAAAACAAAAAATTCCCACAATGCTTCGGGACTACCTGGCAATCCTAATTGCAAGTTTAAAGGTCCCAAGGGTAGGTGACGCCCCTGCAGAGCCAGGCAACAGGACAGGGCAGGCCTTCATGGCAGGGGAGGGACAAGGGAGGGAGGGAGTACAAGGGGACAGGAAGAAGAACAGATGTTCTCTGCACCTGATCCGAAGTCCTACATGCCCCACCATCAGCAGGAGACATTTCCACAGGTCTCTCCCCTACACCACCAATGCAGAAGGGGCCCCTCTACCCCTGGCTGGACTGCAAAAAACAAGAGTCAACCCATGTGGAGTACGCAGCACAAATCCCACTGACCCTCAAATGTGGTCCTGGTTGCTACTGCTGAGGAGACCTGCTCCCAGGGTGTTGAGGGCTAAGTTTTGGGTGGTCTGCAGTCAAGGCACACCCTCATGAAGGAGTAACCATGCATTGGGTTAGGAGAATAAAAACCATCTCACCGGGCATGGTGGCACATGCCTGCGCCCATAGGTTCGAGACCAGCCTGGGCAACTCAGTTGAGACCTCGTCTCTACAATGAAAATTTTAAAAATTAGCAGGGCTTGTGCCTGTAATTCCAGCTACTTGGAAGGCAGAGGTGTAAGAATCACCTGAGCCCAGCAGGTGGAGGTTGCAGTGGCCGTGAGCATGCTACTGTACTCCAGTCTGGGTGACAATTAGACTCCGACTTAAAAAAACGAAACACAGCCGGGCTCCGTGGCTCAGCCTGTAATCCTGCGCCTTTGGGAGGCTGAGGTGAGTGGATTGCCTGAGCCCGCGGGTTCGAGACCCGCCTGGGCAACTTGGTGAGACCTCATCTCTACAATAAAAAAAAAAATTAGCTGTAGTTCCAGCTACTTGGAAGGCTGAGGCGGAAGGATCGCCGGAGCCCAGCAAGTTGAAGCTGCGGTGGCTGGGGACGGCCACTGCACTCCAGTCTGGGCGACAGAGCGAAACTCCAACTCAAAAAAAAACAAAAAACAAAACACAAAACATTAGCCAGGTTTGGTGGCGCTACTGTAGTTCCAGCTACTTGGAAGGCTGAGGCAGAAAGATCTGAGTGAGACTCCAACTCAAAAAAAAAAGACCATCTTTATCTGTTCCATACATATTTAAAACAAACTTATGGCTGGAATGATATACCTGGTATATGCTCTGAAATATTCCAGGGAGTAGGAAGTGGAGAAAGGTCAAGCAAGATTGCAAAACACTGACAGCTGCTGAAGTTGAGCTGTGCACATACTAGGATTCATGTTGGAAAAGTTCCATTATCATGTTTTCTCAATGCAAAGTAAGCCCAAGTATTTTTACAAAAGCAAAGCCATGGCAGGCTACCAAATACTGAACCGAAGCTCAGAAAACTGATCACAGCCTGTTTTCATCCTGGTCCAAGAAAGAACTCTGGGCTCAGTGGGAAGAATCTGCCTGGAGCCGACAGTCCTCATACATCCTGTGCCACACAGCTGCCAAGGCCAGCCATTATCTGTGTTACGATCTCATCAGTTCAATCATGAGGGCTGGAGTTAAAAGTCTATTTATTTATCCAACAACTGTTTAGCTATCTCTTCCATGCCAGGCACTGGGCTGAATGCTGGGACAAAGATGGCCAAGGAAGATAGCTTCCCTCTTCCCATGCACCTGGTCATCCAGCCCACCCTAACCAAGAAAGCCTTCTTTCCTCCAAGTCCAACATAGCACCATGAGCCAAGCTTCATCCAACACTTAATACCTCTTTATTGCAAGTTCCGTCTCCACTACAAATACCAAATGGAGAGGCTTTCAACCAAGCTTCCAAATCTTTTCAAGGCTTCTGTAGGACTGATGTGGTCTGAAACCTGCTAGAAGGAGCTCCTGGGAGAAGCGGTTGATCCACTCACTCTATGGCAGGCAAGGCAGGGTTTTACTACAGCAAGAGAAAAAGCAGCGAGGCTTGGAGACCCATGCAGGACTGTCCACAGTGCTGACATGTGACGGACCCACCACATCTGGGACAACTCAGGATCAAAAGAATGCCTCCACCCACATGGAGTTCTAAGACAGGCAAAACTCCTCACCGATGAGAAAAAACTCCAAATAAGGGTGCCGGGGGATGGAGGCAGGGATTACGTGGCAAAGGGCCCTGAGGAAGGGGGGTCTCTGGGGTGATGGTCACAGTCCACCTCTTGAAAGAACTTGGGCGTGAGTCCATAATGATGCCTTTTTCTTTAGCTGGGGACCGCGGCTCACACCTATAATCCCAGCACTTTGGGAGGCCAAGTTAGAGAACTGCCTAACTCCAGAGGTTTTAGACCAGCCTGCGCAACTTGGCGAGACCTCATATCTTCACAATATATCAAAAAATTAGCTGGGAGTGATGGCACATGCCTGTAGTTTCAGCTACTTGGAGGGCTGAGGTGAAAGAATCATCTGAGCCCAACAGGTCAAGGCGGTGGTGGCTGTGAGTGTGCCACTACACTCTAGCCTGGGTGACAGAGTGAGTGAGACACCAACTCAAAAAATAAAATTATATAGCCGGGCTCGGTGGCTCAGTCTGTAATCCCGCACTTTGGGAGGCTGAGGTGAGTGGATTGCCTGAGCCCGCGGGTTCGAGACAACTTGGCGAGACCTCATCTCTACAATAAGTCAAAAAAAAAAAAATTAGCCAGGCACAGTAGCGTGCACCTGTAGTTCCAGCTACTTGGAAGACTGAGGCAGAACAATCACCGGAGCCCAGCAGGTCGAGGCTGCGGTGGCCGGGAGCAGTCACTGCACACCAGCTGTGCAACAGAGTGAGATTCCAACTCAAATAAATAAATAAATAAATATAAAAATAAAAATAAGTGAAAAAGTTAGCCGGGTGTGCACACTTGTGGTTCCAGCTACTTGAAAGGCTGAGGCGAAGGATGGCCTGAGCCAGCAGGTCAAGGCTGTGGTGGCTGTGAGCGTGCCACTGCACTCCAGCTTGGGCGACAGAGTGAAACTCTGACTAAAAAAAAAAACAACAAGTTGGGCTCGGTGGCTCAGCCTGTAATCCCCCGCCTTTGGGAGGCTGAGGTGAGTGGATTGCCTGAGCCCGCGGGTTCGAGACCCGCCTGGGCAGCGAGACCTCATCTCCACAATAAATCAAAAAATCAGCCGGGAGCGGCCACTGCACTCCAGTCTGCACGACAGAGTGAGACTCCAACTCAAAAAAAAAAAACAAACAAACAAAAAAAACCAAACAAACAAAAAAATAAACCTTCTTTTAGAGGCTGTCAGGAGGAAGGCCCTCCTTTGGAAACAAGGTATCATGGGGTCCGAACACTGCCCTATCCAAAATGCCTCAAGGGCACACCAGGCCTCAAGCAGGCTGCCGCACTTGGATTTCTGCCCGCTCTCTTCATTAAAAGCAAAACAACTTGGTGGCTCAGCCTGTAATCCTAGCACTTTGGGAGGCCGAGGCCAGTGGATTGCCTGAGTCCGCGGGTTCGAGACCAGCCTGGGCAACTTGGCAAGACCTCGTCTCTACCATAAACCAAAAAATTAACCAAACGTGGTTATAGTACACGCCTATAGTTCTGGCTACTTGGAAGGCTGAGGTGGAAGGATCGCCAGAGTCCAGCAGGTTGACGCTGTGGTGGCCGTGAGTGTGCCACTGTACTCTAGCCTGGGCAACAGATGAGACTCCAACTCAAAAAAAAAAGCAAGACATGTGGGCATGCCTTTGCTCCAGCAGGGTGCCCTACCCCACTGGGTTCCTGCTGACTCGGACACCACACCTGGCTTGTGTGCTGTCCATTCATTTCCTGGGCACTCCTCCCGTGTCACCATGGTGGTGACACCTTCTGATTCAAGTAGATAG